GGTATTGAGGCTGCAGCCCTGCCGGCCACTCCGCTCGCTTCTCAAAAACGCCGCCGATGGAAAATGCATCTGATTGCCCGTCCGACGATCTCCCTCGTCACGAAAATCAGCTGGGGGGAGCTGATCTTCCGAACCGTCTGCGCCGCTCCAATCGAGTCCCAGAGGCCTGGCAGACCTCCTGGAAAGGAAGCTCTAAAACCAACTATTTCTAACTAACTCTAAACTATTGCAACTAACAAAAAGGAGAAATAAAATCCTGAAAGGAAAATTTTCTCTCTCTATCTAAAATCTCTTTCGAATTAGCCTAACTGAGGAGCTACAAAAAATTGTGTCCTACTGAGCTGAGACTAAGACAAAACTGGGAAAGGACCACCCAAGGGAGGCGTGGCTAAAGTTTGGTCTTAGTCTAAACTGAGCAGGAAGGCTTTGATAACCCATTGGTGGATGTTACATCTATCATGCTGGAGAATACAAAAATTTAACAAAAAGAAAGAATTTTGGAGCCCAAAAGTTATGAACTTTTTATTTTATTTATTTTTTTAAAAAATATAATTATCCCTTCAGTATTAATTCTGTGTGCACTTTATTCTTGCACTAAAAAATAAAAAGATTTTCAAGATCTGCATACTGCTTATTATTCTGTTGTGCTTCAGTGCATTTATCTGCTCCCAAGTTGTTTGCACAATTTTATTCTACCCAAGGGTTTTGTATCAAAATAATTGTTTTATTTTGCAAGCTAAAAGTGTAAAGCTTTCCTTGGGTGCAAACAGTATTTTCAGGATGTATTTCAAATTAAGATGTTTTCATTTCTTGGTTACCTTGAATCTTGGCTTCTGTTTATCAACATACTTTGAAATGTAAAATTCATCTTGGTTAAGTATCTGTTTCTGTACAGTATTTAACTTCTTGTAATCTTCATAGAAACAGCAGTATGATTAAAATAATTGCCTTATTTTGCAAGCAGAAGGGGCAGAGCCTTTCATTAGATGCAAATGGTATTATGTGTAGGTTATATTTTAAATTAAGCTTATTTCCTTGTTCTACTTTGTATCTTGGCTTTCTGTTTATCAACATACTTTGAAATATAAAATTCATCTTGGTAAAGTATCTGTCAACTCTAACTACTTTTTGTGTACTATATTTAATTCTTATGACCTTCATAGAAATGTTAAATTATATTTTTAAAAAGTAAGGGATTTTACTGTAAACTGTGATTTGGATGCAGAAAATTGTCAGCAATATTCCATTCACAAATTACCTTGCATCCCACTGTTTCTCTTTTTCTAAAGTGTTTTTATGCTTGCTCTAGAATTGTGCTTGATGGTTTTGAAGAGGGAGAAGTACAATTGCAATATACTTGAAATTCAAATGCATATATCTTGACACAAACTTATTTAATTGGGAATATAGGAGTCTCCTTCGTCCCATTCTAGATCATGGATATACATGACAGTTAATATCATATAATTTATATGTCAGTTGTTTAACCTTTGTCCACTGTACACTTTAATAGATCATGCTAAGTGTGTGACAAAATAGGATATATGGAAGCCTTTGCTTTAGAATGCAGTTCGATAGTGAAAAAGTACATTTATGCTAACATGTTAAAATAACATACATTCATGCTGATGGCTGATCAAGCTGCAACTAATTTGCTATTTATGAAACAAAATACATTTTGTAATGCTAATAAACCAGGGAGATGGTTGGCTTATCAGTTAAGAAAAAAACAGAAACAGAGGAATATAGATAAAATAAATTATAATGGTAAATTGGTTTATCAGAAAGAATTGATTAAGAAATCTTTTTTAGAATACTATCAAAAATTATATAAGGGTACCAATATTCAAATTACAGATATAAATAATTATTTAGGCAAAGTCAACTTTCCTAAATTAACAGAAGATCAGGAAAAAAAGATTAACGGTTTAATTACTAAGGAAGAAATTGTTACAGCTATTAAACAATTGAAATTGGGCAAAGCGCCGGGTACGGATGGGTTGACATCTATTTATTATAAAGCTTTAGTAGAAGAGATGATCCAACCGTTGTGTGAACTGTTTAATAATTTATTACAGGGGTTAGAGATCCCTCCATCCTGGCGTAATGCATTTATATCATTGATTCCAAAAGATAGTCAAGATCTTACTTTGCCTAAAAATTATAGGCCTATATCTCTTTTAAATGTGGATTATAAAATTTTTGCAAAAATTTTAGCTAACAGGCTTATGGGGATCTTGCAGCAGTTTATACATAGGGATCAATCGGGTTTTATAACTGGAAGGTATATGAAGAATAACGTTAGACAAATTATTAATTTATTAGAGTATTTAGAAAAGAATAACCAAGTCTCTGCAGGCTTGATATTTTTGGATGCTGAAAAAGCCTTTGATCAAGTGAATTGGCAGTTTATGCTGTGTTTAATCAAGGAGATGAATTTTGGACAAAATATATTACAAGTATTATCCAATATATATCAAAAACAGACTGCTCAAATTATTGTAAATGGGGGTTTGTCAGAGGCTTTTGTAATAGAAAAAGGAACAAGACAGGGATGCCCGTTGTCTCCGTTATTGTTTGTTTTAACACTGGAAATTTTGTTGATTAAAATTCGGGAGTCTCAAGAAATAAAAGGAATAGAAATTAATAAAAAAGAATATAAATTAAGAGCCTTTGCAGATGACTTGGTTGTTACTTTGTCTCAACCTGTTTCTTCGGTGGTGAAATTATTACAATTGATTCAACAATATGGACGTGTTTCTGGCTTTAAAATTAATAATAATAAGACCAAAATATTAGCTAAAAACATGACTAATGGTGATAAACAGGCTCTAGTTAACTTAACAGACTTTGAAATTGTTGATAAGGTAAAATATTTGGGGGTTACATTATCTGCTTCTAATGTAAAATTGTATAAAAATAATTATGAAAAGCTGATGGAGGTACAGAAGGATTTAAAAAACTGGAATAATTTACAGTTATCCCTTATGGGCAGAATTGCAGTTATTAAAATGAATGTCCTGCCAAAGTTTATTTTTTTGTTCCAAATGTTACCTATCTTAAAGAACGAACGTAATTTAGATGAATGGCAAAAAGGTATTAATAAATTTGTTTGGGCAGGGAAAAAACCAAGGGTGAAACTTAAAATAATGCAAGATTTTCGTGAGAGAGGTGGACTCAAGGTACCAAATATGAAATTGTATTATGATGCTGTAGTATTGACATGATTAGCGATTGGGTGAATTTAACAAATACAGAAATACTTCATTTGGAAGGCTGGGACCTATTTTTTGGATGGCATGCCTATTTAATATTTAATAAAAAAGTGGATTGGGTTTTTAAGTCTCATATTATAAGAAACTCTTTGCTAAGAGTGTGGAGAAAGTATTATAAAAGTGACTTCAAAATACCATTATGGGCTATACCTCGGCATGCCATAGAAGGTATAAGGAAAGGGGTAAATATGGACAAGGTCTCTTACGTACAGTTATTAAGATGGGATGGCCAAGACTGGCAGTTAAAATCTTTGGAAGAATTAACACATGAAAACTTAACTTATTCATGGTTCCAATATAGACAAATAGTGGATAGATGGAAGATGGATTGTAAAATGGGCTGGCTTAGAGAAGATGGAATTTTTTTAAAACAAGTAAGAGATCAAAGGCCAACCCATATTAAGAGAGTTTATGGGGTTTTAGTGGAATTAGATTCAGAACTTGAACTAGTTAAAGATTGTATGATTAAATGGGCACAGAATATTGGTGAAACGATTTCAATGGATACTTGGGAACTTATTTGGATAAGAAATGTTAAATTCACACAAGCGCAAAATTTAAGAGAGAATTTTTATAAGATGTTTTATAGATGGCACCTTGACCCAAAGAAAATGTCCATTATGTACCCTAATCTACAGCCGAAATGCTGGAGATGTGGATATTTGGATGCTACCTATTACCATATTTGGTGGACGTGTAAGCATATAAAAGCTTTTTGGATTAAGATATGGTGGAATATTCAAAGAATTTTTAAAAGAGGGTAAAATTTACTCCGCAATTATTTTTACTAGGTATTGTTATTGACTGTGATGCTAAGGAGGTTATATTGATGTTAAATTTGATTACAGCCGCTAGGTTGTTAATAGGACAATATTGGAAGAAGGAATCTTTGCCTACTTTACAAGAATGGTTTCATAAAGTTTCGTATTTGGCAGAAATGGCAAAGATTTCGGCTTTCTTAAAGGAGCAATCTCAAGAAAAATTTTTTGCGGTATGGGAAAAATGGATAAATTTTATACAACATAATTTGGATATGGAAAAATATTATTTAGCCTTTTTATAATTTGTAATGATTGTTTTTTCTTTCTTTCTTTCTTCTTTTTCTTTTTTATATATATACATTTTTAATGTATTATTATTCATATATTTTTTTTTTTTATATATATATATGCTTTATTTTTCGTCTACTTTCTTCTTTCTTCTTTCTCTCTCTCTCTTCTCTTTTTATTTTTTATTTTTTTTCTTTTTTAGTATATATTATTCATTTTAAAGTTTATGTTATGTATATTATTTCTATATATATTATTACTGTGATTTTTATTATTATTATTAATTATTTTATAAATTGCAAATGTTATTTTTAAAATATTTGTTAAATAATCCTATATTCAGTTCTGGGAAGTCGGGGGGGGGTGGGGTGGTTGGGGAGGGGGGGGTGGATTTTTATTTGTAAAACTTTTGAAAAATTTCAATAAAAATAAAAAAAAAAAAAATAACATACATTTATATTTGCTAGAGAAAATTATATTTCTGGAGAAAGATAAGTATGATCCTCCTGTTTACTTGTCCTCCTGTTCTCAACATTTGTTAATAGACTTATTAACTTGAGCTTTGCATATTTTTGCTAATCTTATCATAATTTGTGATGAATGGATTAAATGACTGCATTATTTAGTGACAATTTTCTAATGGTCCTTTTTTTGTTTTGTTTTGTTTTTTTCCTAGGACCGGAATCGGCCCTATGATACTTTTAACTTGCACTCTTTGGAAAACTCATTAATGGATATGATAAGGACTGATCATGAACCTCTTAAAGGTAAACACTACCCTCCCAGTGGCCCACCAATGAGTTTCGCTGATATAATGTGGAGGAATCATTTTACAGGTTAGGAATATTCATATGTTCATACTTACTTTAAAAGAAAATCAGCTTTTTTTCTGCTATAACATTTTGATGTGTTATTGCTTTTTTTTGCTAGTAAATAAATTGTTAAATTTTAAAGCTACTCCTTGATTTTAGAATCTCAGTTAACTGAGGTGAAAAGTAAATATACAGTATGATTAAGGAGGCAGTTAGATATCAAATCTTAGTTTATTGTTGGCCTTTTTTCTCCAAAAATATTTTAAATTTACAGTCAAAGAAATAAACCTAATTTTGAAGCACCTTTCTTGTTCTATTTGAAAGGAGCATGTGTAACAATGTTACATGTGCATTTTCAATCTTGTTAGACAGGATGCCAGAGATTTTTGATATATATAACTTCCAAAGTAAACAACTATTACAATTAACTGTGAAAATCAAGGCATACGTTCTCATGAAAGCACTGGCCCTTTTTCTACAGCTTTTTTTTTTCTATTTTTAAGAATTCAGTAAGTGTGCAACTTGGCATATGAATAAGAACAATCTTAAAACTAGAAAAAATGACTAAATCAGCTCCAATTCCTAATTCAGTTTATTTCTTAAATAATTCAACCAAGGAGAACCATAAATGGTCCAGAAACATTTACTAACTGAAACACATTTAACTTCTTTCTGAGTGATGTACAAAGGTTAAATCAAACAATTAGAACAAATGAAATAATGTTCATTCCTCTAGAAATGATAATGCCATTAGTCCTTGCATTAGTGGTATCCCACCTGAATTATTGTAGTAGATTTTTTTAGCAGGTCTTCCTAACTCCGCTTTCGATCCACAGTGCAAGATATTCTTATTTGTGTGCTTCTAGATCTTTCCCAACCCATCCCTATTTCTCTTGCTCTCTTCATTGATTGAGTTTTTAGAGGCATTATTACATCTAGCACTGGTTTATGTCATTATTTTGTTAGTTGTATAGTTATTTTGTTCACAACTGATGATGCTAGTGCACCTTATTTGTTGTTTGTTTTAAGATTCTAGCTAGGCTAAGTGAAAAATATATGGTCAAAGGAAAAACATTTAGTTTGCAAGATTGTCCAAAATCTCCTTTCCAAGTGCAGTCAGCTGAGTCATGTGTCTAAAATTATGCAATTCACTTCTAACCCTTTTTTAATTCTATGCATCTTGAATTGATTGCTTGAAAGCCAAGGAAAGATTTTTCATGTCAAATATGTTTGATAAATTCACACTTATCTTCATGTGTGTGTGTGTGTGTGTGTGTGTGTGTGTGTGTGTGTGTAGACGGGAATTGTAGAAATGAAAACAATAAAAAGGTTAAATATGTATATTAAAATAGTTGAACAGTGTAGTATTAACAGAATAATAAAACTGGAGAGTGAAATTGTTAAAAGTTTGGCAGAATATGTCTCCAATTAAGGACAAAAAAAAAAGGCTAGACTAGCCTTAGGAGGAGAAAGAGGGAAAATTCCAGGATTTAGGATGGGAGGATCTGATATTTTAGATTATTAATCAATGTTACTGTTTCGAGGGATATTATGGTTTGTAAATTACATACCAAATGATCTTGTTACTTGTGTTTTGGACAATCTGAAATTTGAAACTTACTATCCACTATTACTGAATAAAGAGACTTGGCTTGTTTCTCTCTAATAAAGTTAATGATTATTGCTGCTTGCTGTGATGTCCATTGGGCAAAGGTTATCAGCCACTGTTGCAATCCGGCAAGAAGTTAAAAACAGCCTATCAAAGATTTTCAGAGACAAGGTAAAAGGAAAGTGGTTACTTTCAGGTCAACTGACTTTTGCAAACCTGGATACATACCGTGTTTCCCCGAAAATAAGACCCACCCAGCCTGAGTTTTTGGGGTGGGCCTAATAAAAGCCCTACTCCAAAAATAAGCTGCAGGGGATGGGCATGGTCAGCAGAAGCAGCAGTGAGCGCACGGGGGCCGATGATGTTCGGCAGCAGCCGCAGCCCAGCCATTCCTTGGCGCAGAGCAGATAAGTCTGCGCAGAAAGGCAGAGGCAGGGGAAGTGTTTGGGTGCCTATGGGGCGCTTGGAAACTGAGCGATTCACTTGGTTTCCAAGAACCCAATAGATGCCCAGTTTCCCCCCAGACTGGAAGCTCCGACTGGTTGTGAATGGGGTGCTTGGAGACGGAGCTAATCGCTCCGTTTCAAAGCACCCCATTCGCAAGCAGACAAAGCTTCCAGTCTCCATCAGATCTCTGTTCGTGGGAAAAGTGTTTGGGCGCCTATGGGGCACTTGCAACTGCACCCCCTCTACCTGCCTCACCTTGTGGCAGTGGCACAGCAGGCCACACGGCCTCCTGCCGCAAGCGGCCTCAAGGGGCCACAGAAATGGGCCAGCAGTCACATGGCCTCCTGGTGGATGGGGCTCTTGGTACCATCGCCTCAAAGCGAGGTAGGTGTTGGGAAAAAAGACATCCTCCGAAAATAAGACCCACTGCCTCTTTTGGAGACAAAAAATATATAAGACCAGGTCTTATTTTCAGTGAAACACAGTAGTGAATTAAATTCTGAGAGAACCTAACATAAACTAACAAGGAGAATTTGGAATTAGCCTAGCAGCTATATTCAAGGCAAAGCCCTCTATAATCACTGTATACAACTTTAAACTGGTGGCATAGAATGAGGGATGTTGTTAACAAAAGATAAAGGCTGGCAGTGAAATTTAGCAAAGTGATTTATCGTTTGCTCTGATTCTCTTGCATTGAAACTGCCAACCAGTATTAAATATGTTGTCTATAGGTAGCTGTTTAATAACCACTCATTCAGCAATTGTTACAATGGTCCTGAACAAGTAGTATTTACAATTAGTCCTCAAAATTCCCACAGTCCCAGCACTCACTTGGTCATGTGCTTGCACTCTGGGCTTGACAACTGGCCTGCACTTATGACGGTTGCAGCATCCCAGAGTCATGTGATCACCATTTGCATTTGCACCATTCTCTGCCAGTTTCACGCAAGCAAAGCCAAAGAGGAAATCAGCCGGGCAGATGGCAAGTCACTCCAATAGGTTACAGGCAAACCATGCATCTTCCCCTGCTCTGCAGTAGCCACTTACTGGCCTGCTTGGACTTACTTAATGACCTGCGATTTTTGCTTAATGCTGGCAATAGGAAATGCTGGGATTTCCATCCCTAAGCAGTATGATTATGTGACATCTCACTTTGAAACTGCATTACTTAGTGACGGAAATCCCAGCACTCCCCATTGCCACTGTTAAGCAAGGATTACCTGTAATATTTGAATTCACAAAAACATTGTTAAAGTCAATATTTAATGACATATTTCAACTGTTAAAAGCTTTTGTGACTAATTTGTTTTCTCAGTGTTATTGAGAATTGTGTAAGAGTATATATTTATGGAGGACAAAAAATCCATACCTAACTGCTACTACTTTTTGCTTGAGAGCAAAAATGAAATATATTCCTGCCATTGACTAGATTAAGTGGATTATCCCATACAATATTTCTTTTTTTTTTTTCTGGACAGAGAATGTTTTATTTTCATCACTACTGCTGGCCTCCTCCCATTTCTGGCCTGGGGAAGAGCACTTAGAACTTCTTTGAGGGGGAAAAAAAATCTGGAAACCTGGTGGAGAATGCCCCAGATCCAGCCAAAGTCTTATATCACTTAAGGTGCCGTGAGAAATTGGTTGTGGACAGCTTCTTCCTGGAACCCAAATAGGACCTTCTCTTAACACCAAAGCACCGAGTGCAGGAACAGGTGTTGAGATGAAGTTGGGTTGGAATGGGGGCAACTCCAGAGTTGGGGCACCCCACTTCTTGTCCCCACTACTCAGCTGGGGAGCTGTGAGGGTCAAGGAGGTCCTGGCCACCTTTGCACACATACATACACACCCCTCCCTTGGGGGGGTAAAGAAAGTGCGCCAGTTCTGTATCGCGGTCCCATACAATATTTCTGTCATTGTCTTTCCTTCTTTGCCTATCTTACCATCTAATTTTTGGCTCTGAGAATATCAAAATATACATAAAAATTGACATTTCATATTTGTAATTCATCATTTGCTTGGCATTCTGTGATTATTTAGAATAGCCTCCAGAATTACCTGCAGATCTACCATAGACATGCAAAGAGAATGCAGAAACATCTGTGTTCTATACTTAAAAAATTAAGAGACTAGAGTAGCCCCCTCCAGGAGTGTTTTGCCTCATACTTACTCTATCTAGAGCAGAGGTCCCCAACCTTTTAGGCACCAGGGACCAGTTCTGTGGAGCGAGGTTTTTTCCACAGACCAGAGGGTGTGTGGTTTTGTATGCTGCCTGCATCTCACGGATGGAGATTTGCTTGTTTGTGCAGACTGGTTGCTGGCATGCCGTGGCCTGGTATTGATCCAAGGACTGGAGATTGAGGACCCCTGATCTAGAGGGTAAAATAGAGAATGTCTAAACTGGAAAGATTAGAATAGGATGGGTGGGAGCACTACTGTATCATAATCTGAAAACGGAATAAGGATGCTTAGTTATTTACTTAATTATTTTGAACCTAAGAATTTCAACCAGAAAGCCAGTTGTGTTTTAATGTTTTTGGTCAGTTATCATTTAGTTTTTAGCTCTTATTTTGCTTAAAAATTATTAGTTTTGGATTATGATTTTTGGGTATAGCTGAAATAAAATAGAATGCATTCAGTTTTCTGCATCTGTGAGATTCTTTTGAAACTATGTTTATCATTACTAGTACTATTGAATGAAATAATTTCTATAATGTATTTTAGTTTTAATTTGAGTGAAGAGTAAAATCATGACACTTTCAGGTTAAGTCTCTTTATATTGCAATAACATATACAGTATGCATGTATGGGTGTGTTTTTGGCATTTTTGATTTTCTGAGAAGATAGTTGTTAAGTGTAACTTAAAAATAGAAAGCCAAAAAGCAGGTGACAAAATGTTAGGCAGGCAGTGCCTGGCAGGATGATTGAATGAACACAACATGCACACACGCTCATCAGATGTCACAGATTTGGTTCTATTTTTGTACCTGACTTTAGCAAAGGAAGAAAAAGGTATTTTTTAAAGTGTTTAGTACTATCATTAGAAGCTTCACTTCTGTATTACCAACTCATATATAAAAACTTCTTTAAATGGTTTAAATAACCATTTACTGCAATTTGGTTATTTGACCATTATTGGGGCAGACTTTTGTTTGCCGAATGGGATTCTTCTGGGGTCTTATCTGAAGTTTAGAAAGGATTTGTTTGCTGTACTTGGGTATAATTCACAACATACATTTCAGGTAATACCTTTTGCCATGTAGCAAAAAGTGAAGAATCTTCTTCAGCATTACATACTGGTACATTTAGAGAAAGAGTTTGGGTTTGGGGGAAAAGGAGCTTTCATGAATTGAGTATGCATACCTTGTGAAGCCATATTACCAATTAGAGGCTTCCTACCCTGGTTTAAAAGAGATTTCTGTGATGAAGGTATCCTTAGGATGCTTAAAGTCTTTGGCAGTTTCTAGGGCTTCATATAGATTACCTTGTTTACAATCTGCAAGGTACTATTTTGCAAGAATTCACATTCTTGCAAGATAGATGGAGAGATGGGACTCAAGTTAAATAACTGACCTAAAGATGCTTTCAAGACATATAAGATTCAGATCAGAGACTCTTTGATTAATATTTCCATTATCTTTACCACAACACAATTTTGAGTAAATTAAAGAGGTTTGTAATCATTTCCAAAAGCAGAAGATTTCATACACTCGCCAGTTAATGAGAATCCAAACTACAGTACATGTATAAAATAGTCTTTGGCTTTTCTTGAGGAAGCATAAGTAAATTATTTCTATTCACACTATCAGTAATCAGCTAAAGAAACACTAAAGAGGTAATGGCTTGTTTTGACAACAAGAAGCTGCTAATATTTCTTCCCAGATTTCCCTATTGAGTCAATAGAATGGAGGTGAGGGAATAATGTGTTTATTTTTCCTCCAAAGTACAATATTTAACATTAGGTACTGTTTCTTGTTACAGTAATTAATTGAAAAGTGTGTTTTCTGTTAATCTAAAAATCAAATTCCAACAATTAGAAATAAGAGCAGAACTATTTCCATTATAAAGAAACCAATAAAAGGAGACTAACATGTTTAGGTTCATTTTTTTCCTTATCTTTTACCTTTAATGAACATAACATATAGTACTTATTGCTACACATCTTGTATAGAAGTAGAGATGGAACATATTCTGAAATAATTAACACTATTCATATCTATTTGATTTTGAAACTAGTTTTTTTAAAAAAATAAATCTAGTATTAAAAATCTGTTTAATTTTTTTAGGTCGTATGGGTATAAATTTTCATCATCCGGGAACAGATAACATTATGACACTTAATAGTAAGTTCATATCTTATTTTATTGCATTTTGTACAACTTGTATATTCAGTATGCTTTTGCATTTATGTGTCCATGTTGATTACAAAGGAAAGGGAGCACTCTGGACAGCATTCAAAAGTCTATCATATCATTCCAAACTGAAGAAATTCTTTTTAGAAGAAAATTGATTGCAGAACAAGTAGTTCTTGACTTACAACACTTTGTTTAGTGACCGTTCAAAGTTACAATGGCACTGAAAAAAAGTGATTTATGACTGTTTTTCACACTTAACGATTATTATGACATCTACCCCAAGGTCACATAATCTTCTGAGAAACAAAGTCAGTGGAGAAGCCAGATTCACTTAACAACTATTTTATTAGCTTAACAACTACAGTGATTCACTTAACAATTGTGGCAAGAAAGGTCATAAAATGGGGCAAAACTCATTTTACTTATCAATTGTGGTTGTAAGTCGAGAACATTACCTGTATTGTGATTGTAAAAAATTGTTCAATATTTTGGCGAAAACTAAAATGTATAATAAAAAGCTTTGGGTTTTTGGAGCCGCTCTATTAGCTTAGGAGTCACAGCCCCAAGTGCTCCTACTAGTACTGGGACTACTTTGGTCTTTACTTTCCATAGTCTCTCTAATTTCTCTTTCAAGCTTTGGTACTACACCAGCTTCCTATATGCCTTCCTTATGTTGCTGTTACTTGGCACTGTTACTTCTATCACCATCCATCACAGCTACTGCCTGATTCCTGTCTATTATTCTGATGTCTGGTCAGTACCTGCCTGTCCATCTGGATCTGGAAATCAGGATATTAGTCCTATTATTCTCCATGACCTTCTGTGGAATCTCTGTTCTGAATTAATCCATGCACAGTGCAGTTGTTCCTGTATACAATACCAGCTGGTTGTACCATTCAATGAAATACCCTACTGCTTATTGGTAGGGTTGTTGGACTGTCTCTGAGGTCTCTCTGGATAGTCTGCATCTTGGATGTTGTCTAATGTGGCAGACTCCTTCTTCTATGGATCTGGTATTTATTACCTGTTTTTGTGCTGCTGTCTTTTAGTTCAGCCCTATCTAGCCACTTGTAGGATTTCCCAGTGCACCCACCTGAACTATCTATCAATGATAGAATCCCATTCAGTGTCTTGTCTTACAATAGCAGTTCCTCTGTTCTTTCTCCCATGACTGCTGTTACCCTGGCATTCTCTCAGGCAGCTCTTCTTTGGGTGCCATCTTATTGATGTACTCCTGGATGCTCTAGGTTTCATACAGGACAGTTATTTTGACACCCAATAGATCCCACCTATCATCTTTCAAGATGATGTACATATTCTTTGTTCAGTGTCAGTATTGTATGTAGTCAGTGAGGTTTATTTGGGGTGCAATTATTGCTAATTATAAATTTTTCAATATATACATTTAAACAATTTCTGAAGGGCTTGCATTCAGAGTTGAATGATTGAATTTCTTTCTTTGGCAGGCAATATCTGCTTATTTTATTACTAGTAATAAAATTGTGTGATAAGTGTGGGGAGCATTACAATTATTTTGTTAAATATGTTTTAAATAAATTCATTTAAGTCAAGGGTGTCAAACTGCCGGCCCACAGGCCAGATATGTCATGCTGAAACCACTCCTACCCCATTGCCGGCAATGGAAGAAAAGTTGTGATACATCGTGACACGTCATGTGATGTTGCGAGTTTGACACCCCTGATTTAAGTCAAGGATAATGTGGTTTTATTTTTTTTTAACTCAGCATAGATTTTCTTACCTATTTGCATAAACAATCTAGTTTGTTCTGAAGAAGAGTAGCAATATGATTAAAGTCATAAAGAATTATGCATAAACAACGTAAATAGATTCTGTTGTTGTTGACACTATTACCTGTCAGATATGCCTATAAGAATTTATGTCTCTACAAATTTCTAATTATTGGGGCTTTTGTATTCCATAAACATTCGTATTATAATTAATAATTTATAGGAATTGCATTGCAAACATGGGAACTTAATAAATGATCAGAAATCCCATTTTTATGCATTTTGACATTAATACACAGCTTCTGTATATGGATGTATTCATGTTAGCACAGAGGAAATGTTGGTCATAATCAACTCTTGAATTAAAATGGATTAGTGCAGGGTATATATTGCTCTTATTCGATTATTAATGAAAGATGCAAGCCATATTTTCTCTTCCAACATTATTGGAAGATGCATTTATGTGTACTTGGTATGATTCTATTGGCCACTTAGCAAGCAATGTCCAATCAATATAATCTATCTCATAACTATGCTATTTGCATTTGCACCTGATTTTAGATTGTATTTCTGTAAACTGATAGCCTTTTAAAATATTATGTGGTCCGAATCTCTAGGAAATAATTAGGAAGATACTTTTTCTTGGTAACATCACTCCCAGTATTAAAAAAAAAAAAACTACTAACAACTGTCTCTTTAGCATTGGATAGTACTTTGCTGCTCTGAATTTTCTTATTTGAAGAATGGTCAATTTATATCATTGATACTCAGAAAAAGAAGATTATTGGGTTACATTACCCATTTATCATGGGTAATAACTTAAGACAAATTACTGAGATATATAGGTATTTTAGATATACATGTATATATGGATGAAAAATTATTTACTTACAGAAAAGGAAACAACTTGGCTAACATATCAGTCCCTTTTACCAAATGGACCTACACACTTAATGCAATTTGATTGCATTGTGGACAACAGTTCAATTAAACTTAAAGAGAACCTTTTAAAATGCAGAAGGTAATGAAGCAGTGATAATTAAATATATACAGAGAACATATTTTAAGAAATTAAATGCTGTTAAGAACATTATTAGGACTGTGCAATGCATTAAACTTGATTCTACAAAGTACTTCAGAGCACATGGGTACGAATGTAGCATCTATCATGAACCCTTTAAAATAGCTGTATTTTTTCCTTGGATTTTATGACAGTTCTGTACTGTAGCCATAAGACCCTGGGAGAAGACATGATTACTTTGAAAATTTGTAGGTAGGACTGAAATTCAGTAGGCAAGCAGCTCCTCTTAATTTTCAAAGGCAGTCATTCTTTTCAGCAGTCAGTTGCATTTTCCATCAATTTATTTTTGTTAATGAGTATAAGAGAACACTTTTTTTTGTTGTTTTTTGAAAAAAATAACCCTCTTTTTATCATAGAGGTAGGCAACTTAAAGGCCCTTGATTTCCTGCCTTTTTTTTCAGCTTGTAAAGTAGTGTTTTACCATTGTTGCTGAAAATTGAAGACATAGCATTTCATTTTTTTGAGCTTGGTCAATAGGCTTAATAGAATTTGCAAAAGACCTCCCTTCTCCCTCCAAAATATTTCAATGAAACCAAGGAAAAATTAAGCTTCAGTTGTTTTTGCAGAATTGCCTTACCCACTCAGATTTCCTGAAACGCAAGGTGTAACTTACAAAGAAGTTTGCCCTTTCTTATTATATAAACATAATATAACAATAATAACAACAGCAACAACAACAATAATAATAACATCCAGTTTTGGTCACCACGATATAAAAAAGATGTTGAGACTCTAGAAAGAGTACAGAGAAGAACAACAAAGATGATTAGGAGACTGGAGCTAAAACATATAAGGAACGGTTGCTGGAATTGGGTATGCCTAGTTTAATGAAGAGAAGGACAAGGGGTGACATGATAGCAGTGTTCCAATATCTCAGGGGCTGCCACAAAGAAGAGGGAGTGAAGCTATTCTCCAAAGCGCCTGAAGACAGGACAAGAAGCAACGGATGGAAACTAATCAACGAGAGAAGAAACCTAGAACTAAGCAGAAACTTCCTGACAGTTAGAACAATTAACCAGTGGAACAACCTGTCTCCAGAAGCTGTGAATGCTCCAACACTGGAAGTTTTTAAGAAGAGACTGGACAGCCATTTGTCTGAAATGGTATAGGGCAGCGGTTCTCAACCTGTGGGTCACGACCCTTTTGGGGGTCGAACGATGCTTTCACAGGGGTCGCCTAAGACCATCGGAAAACACATATTTCCGATGGTCTTAGGAACCGAGACACCGCTCCTCTATCCAGCCGCCACCGCCACCGCCCTCCTTCTCCTCTGCCAGCTCCTCTGCCTCTAGGGCATCCTTCTCCTTCAACAGCGCCTGCTCCTGCTGCCGCAGCACCATCGCGCTCGCCCCTGACACTGCCCGGGCCAGCTCAGCTGCGTGGGTTGCCAAGCTGAGCCAAGCCAAGTCTGGGCTGCTGCTGCTGCTGGGCTGCTCTGTCACTGCCACCGCTGCTGGCTGAGCTGAACTGCGACGCCGAGCCGGTCCCCACGCCTCCTGGTTGCTCCGCCCTCCATGCCGCAACAGAGCTTCCCCCGCGCTGACCGGCCCGCCTCCCTTGCTGTCGGAGGCCGCCTGGCGGGCAGGAGCAGCTCCTTCCCAGCTCGCCAGGCTCCGGGCCTCGGAAGCGGCCAGGTGGTGGGGAAGAGGGCGAGGCAGCGGCAATGCCTGCATATGCATTGGAGGCCAGTCGGCCGGGCTGAGAAGGGAGAAGCGGCACCTTCCGAGCGGGAGTTGGCACTCTGGCTGCGCCCCTCTCGCATGCGATGAGTCAGGGAAGAATCGTGGCAGTGAAGGGCTGCGTGGCGTGGAAAGGGGCTCCCGTGACCCTGCCGCTGCGATGGCGCTCAGGAGGTTGGAGGGGCGGGCAGGTCCCGGGGGGCCACTGGGAGAAAGCAAGAGGTGCCGGGATGAGGATGGGAGGCTCTAGGTTGGCGAGCGTGAGAGGGTGGCCAGCAGCTCCAAAGCGTGCAGATCCTCTGCGTGGCTTCCGAGGCCCCTGAGATGCCACCGCTTGGCTCTCCGCCAGGCTCTCCGCCAGACTACCATCTTCAGCAGCCCTAAAAAGCACTGTGGAAGAGTGGGGAATGCTGGGAGTTGCAGTTCATCACCATCTGGGAAAACATGACTCTCCAAAGATCAATCCTTCCGTCCGTCCTT